CCATATCCAAGTCCAAGAATAGCATTAGACTTAAAAGGATAATTTCTGGAATATTTTCCTGAATATCCCAACAATATATCCGTCTTTATTCACCCTCGTATGTACAAGTATGTCAATATCTGTAATAAGGTTGATTTTCAAATATTTTGGTTTGTAAGGAGCTGATGAGAACCTAACGAAATAAAATGAATTCATAGTATTCTGCACCAATCTTCGTTATTGCTCTCTTTAAGATAACAAAGGGAACTATGTGTATGAAATTTCTGACATTAGTTTTTATTTCTGTGACATTATCTTATTCTCAAGGTGACATTTTATTCAATATAATATTAGTTCATTTCCAGTGACAATTGACACTGGTTTTATCCTCAAAATAACATCTTGGTGTTATTCTGACTATCGTAACCAATGGTTGGAGACTCTGGATGACATGACTCAGAATCGATCACAATCACGGTAGTGTTTACACTCTTTGTCTTCCCTTAAATCGTGAGATTAAAATTGCTTGATATCTTTCTTTCTTCTTGTACTATATCCTTATATGCAATCTTTCTTTTATATATTACTACCACTGAAGTAGCTACTTCCATGAATTTGGTATTCATCTCATTGTACTAATGACGTGTGGCAATCTGGACCGATGCATATGTGCCTGGTCCTACGTTGTAGCAGATTGACTGGTAACATTTTAGTCAGTACGATATTGGATTTATATTTTCTATGTGATATTATTTCAAGTCAACATGTTTCGTAATAATTAAGTGTAAATATTTGTTCAACATGACAGATTTGAACTTCAGGTGGGGTAACATTTATACAGTTCTCTGTCAACTTTGTTTGTGTTTATATTAAACTTATGTATCTTGACATTTATATGATGTTATTAACCAATCATCAAGTGTATATAAAATCAGTACATGAGTATATTCGCTCTAAATTGGTCGTAATGTTTTTGGAGTCAATAAATCTTCGTTGAACCAGTCTTCCGTGTTCTTACCTCCCATCGTGACAATTGTACTGGTTCCTCGTTTTCAAGTATAAACAATAGGACCGTGGACATAACAGGTTGAAGTTAGACTTACATATAACTGGATTCCAGCTCAGTGGACAATACGTTAGGTGTTCACGATAACAAAGGATCTGGATTCGATCTTAGGTGGTAGGATTCTGAATGGGTAATTTTGAGGATCCTAACACTCGGATTGAACAGCTGTCCGGGTTCTCAATTGTTTTGTTCATATCTCAACAATCCCCATAACCCCATACTAAAAATTATGTTAGCAATTGGGAATAATTAAAAATATCAGCTTGTTTATGACAGAATAGAAAGTAACAAACTATAACGAAATCATCTTATCCTGGAAATATTATCGTATTTGCTCAGTTTAAATATGCCACTTCATATTTTATCTTTTTTCTTTAAAACTTACCATGTATAGGTTTATGTACTCTGCTAGCTATAGTGACATTACTCTGTTATCTAAACCTAATTAGGTGAAGTGGGGTTTGAACCTTACAGAATAAATCTGTACTACCATTGTCATTAAGCCAGAGTTCTACAAAGTCTACTATAACAAACAATTTAATCGACTATTAAAGAAACTAATATGTCATCGTAACTTGATTAAGTTTATGGTTTGACGGAAATCGTAAGATCAACAATTTAAAACAAGTATGCAGACAATATAGGGTGAGAAAAATAACATTCTAACAAATCAGATCAAATAATAAACAGGGTAAGTGTTAATCAGATTCTTTATGCTTAAAAGATTAATAATTGTAATGATCAGAAAAAATATGTGACAACAATATTTGCACATGATAAATTTAGTTACAAAAATGCAAAGAGAGTGGTTATATGTATATCGGTCAAAGTAGGTCATTTTTTAATTGAGACGAATATCGATCTACTGGAATGAAGTTGTTCTACGTAAGAGACATAATTGGATTATTATTCTGCACCAAAAGCTCCAGTTTCTTTCAACCCGTATGGCCATTGATTTTAGGGGATAATTACTAACATGACAAACTATAGAAAACTACTTATGTTGGCTTTATGAGTCAACTGAACTAAATGAATTGAATATGAGCTGTTTATAGTCTTAACTATACATTTGGTTAGCCATCCTGAAAGATGTTGAAGGACACGAGTGTAAATTCCTAGAAAATTTGGTAACGTAAATCACTCCACAGGAGCAGTGCAATCGATAGATACAAAAGGAGCTAATCTAAGCAATACGTCTAAGTAATACGTATACACTGGTGTTCAAGTAACTTTCGTGTTCAGATCCTTTCCTAATGCTCCACCAGCTTTTTCTGTTAGCAGAAAATCGAATGAGGTTATTTTACTTTTAAAATCTTTTCCACTTATTTAATTTTGAATGACATAATAGTCATTTTGACAAAAACAGTTCTAGATTTATATGAAATAATTTTAAAGGCTCTACTTGCCTTAAATGTAGATATTTTTCATTTATTCAATATGATGGGATTTTGTAAGGTTTAATTGTTACTGAACGCACTAAGAGTTCTATTCAAATACTGACTGGCACAATTGTTTCTGAGGTGATCTATTATCTGAGATGAATGGTTTGATTTTGAAGTTTTTGTAATCTGTCCAGACAAAATCATTGGCACATACCATAAAGAAAGTTGGTTTATTAAAATCTTCTCATAATCGACTAACAGCTTGCTTTTTTGACCTAAAGTTTGGTCAGTTGTTGTTCATGTGTTCTTTTAATAATTATCACTCTTCACCTGAACTCTGACCTCATCGTTAAGATTTTCCCTTATTGACTGACAGACTGGATTGATTTCGATGTGTTCGAGGTGCTGAGTTTCTAAAACTTATTTGGTTCCCCGTCCAATATTTCGATGCTTTCTCAATCGAACACATGCTCATGGTTGTTCACAAGCATCGGAATAAGTGAAGCTACGCCATGGAGTTTAACAGATAGATGATGTTCCACATAGACGTAGATGGTGGCCATTTTATTCTATGTAATGTTCTACCCGGTCGTTATAGTTTATTCTGTAGATGACGTCTTATCTTCATTTGTTGTCGTTTCTTTTGGCCTAGATAATATTGATTGTGAAGATTTTGTGGTTTGTCCTTAAACAGTCACTGACTTTATAGACCGATGCAACGTCTTAATCGAGAATCGTATTGAATAATTTTCGTAGCTAGATATTACCAAATAGGGTTTGTTTAAAGCCTAATAAAATGACATTGTGTTTAGTGTAAATCATTAAACTAAACTACAGTTTCTATATTACAAATTATTTCTAGATTAAATTACTCCAAGTTGTATAGAGCAGCAAGACCAGACAACATCCCAGCAGAGGCACTGAAAGCAGACGTGACGGTAACTGCAAGGATACTCCACGTTCTCTTCAATAAGATTTGAGATGAGGAACAAGTACCAACAGACTGGAAAGGACTTCTGGTCAAAATACCAAAGGCGATCTCAGCAACTGTGATAACTAGAGAGGAATCACTCTTCTCTCATTACCAGGAAAAGTCTTCAACAGGGTATTGTTAAACATGATGGACTCCGTGGACGCCCAACTTTGAGACCAACAGACAGGACTCCGTAGGGATAGATCGTGTACAGACCGAATCGCAACTCTACGGATCATTTTGGAATAATCAATTGAATGAAATTCATCACTCTACATCAACTTCATTGACTACGAAAAGGCATTTGATAGCGTGGACAGAACAACACTATGGAAGCTTCTTCGACACTACGGCGTGCCTCAGAGGGTAGTCAATATCATACAGCATTCCTATGATGGATCAAACTGCAAAATCATGCATTGAATATAGTTGACAAACTCGTTCGAACTAAAGACCGGTGTCAGGCAAGGTTGCTTACTTAGATGGTGGTTGGGGGTTGACTACCTCCAACCACCATCTAAATCTCAATACATAGTGCCCGCAGTGTCGAGTCACCTAGACTGGTGGCCACATTGCAACATGATCGATAGCATTCGATCTGCACTAATAAGGACTAGACAAGCATGACATTGATCACCACCCAGTGATCAGCCAATTGTGAAGGTTGCTTACTCTCACCCTTTCTCTTTCTCCTGGTGACCGATTGGGTCATGAAGACGTCAATATCTGAAGGGAAGCACGAGATACAGTGACATCTAGGATGCAGTTGGACGATCTAGACTTCGCAGATGATCTGGCTCTTCTATAGCAAACGCAACAACAAATGCAGGAGAAAACTACCAGTGTAGCAGCAGCCTCAGCAACAGTAGGTCTTAATATACACAAAGAGAAAAGCAAGATACTCCGATCTCATGCGCTATCCTTTAACCTCTAGATCACTAAGTCGTACCCAACGTTAATGTCTAACTCCAACCAATCCACAATATTAGGCGACCATCTTCTATTATGTTCAGCAGATAACTGCCTCACACCCAATACGGTTGAGCCCTACTGGTCACGGCTTCTCACTAGAACTTCCTGAATTACCTTTTGAATCTAGTCACTAGTGCGCACATAATGATTGTCAGTACAGGTCAAAATATATTTGGTGATTGTCTGGTTAATGAGTGGGATGCACTGACCAAATGCTAATATTCAACGATATGATTCGTTCAGATGATAGCTACTTACAAGAATGAATTATTGACGTGAGCCCTCGGTTGGACTGATATACGAAAACAATACAGTTGCCTAATAGAATGAATTTCGTTTTAAAATAATATGCCTATATACAGAATATTAACAGAAAAATGAATATGATTTGTAATAGGAGGTTGAAGAAAATCAATTTCATAAGTCATTCACTATTCTATCAATAAGATCCTTGTATGTAATATCAGTTACAGGTTCCCTGGAATTTGAAAACCATGTTAAGAATGTAAGAAAATTATTAGAGAAAAAATAACAACCAAGAAATACAAATGGAAACACTTTGATATTCATATCAATACTTTGATGACCATATGTGTAAATCAATTGTAATTTTCTAATTGAATAAAACTTAATCTTTGCAAAACTTTGTTTTCTTTTCTGTCAAAGATGCATTATTTGCAGTAAACGGACGTCTAAAAGGACGAGCGATTCCGCCAAATCGTAACTGCCCAGCTTCTTTACGACCACCTAATCCACCACCAAGACGACGTGGTCGCCAACCAGGCAGTGTACCACCAAAATACGGCTCTAAAATTACCTGGGATTTAGCAATAAAACAAAAACAGGGAAACGTAATGAGTGGACAATATCAAAATCTGAACGAAAATATTATAGCGGTAAGGAACTACTGTAACCCATAGAGTTTCTTTTAACACCATGCTTCACGTTGTCAGATCCTTTTAAGGGACAAAATATGATTAAGCATCCTATGATTGAAGTTTTACAGAAGTCGCGATTCTTCTTAGATCACTTCACTGAAATCCTTCAATTCACATTTTAAAACTCGATCTACATGAAATATGGAGTGATGGTGGGGGCGATTTGTAGCTAGTGTGGATGATTTGTGTCGAGTTTTGTTCTCTGAGCTGGATGGTGTAATCGTGGTGCTTTCATTGTTCTTCTGAACGACATCATCAGCACGAACTTCAGATAGAAGTGAAGTGTTCGAATTTCTCCACATATGGTTTACAGCTTGTCCTGTAGACCCCGATCTTCATTCGTTATCATTGACCTTTGACCTATCATTGTTTACTTTATTGGGATTGTATCTCCTTTTGATCTGATTTTTGGCTCTATATTTGTACAGAATTCTTCTGATTGGTTAATAAATTGGAACGATTTCAATGTGTTTGTTGATTGACCTGAGTGCTAAGCTTCTAAAAATTCTCTGATGTTCTTAGTGTTCCCCGTCTTTATGATCTCAACAATTTTCCAGTCGAATGTATGTACACATGATATAAGTGAGGATATGCCACGACGTTTGACTACTAATTGATGTTCATGGTAGGAGATAAAGAAGTCGTCCACTTTGTCCGACGTAGTGTTTTTCGCAGTTGGAACAATTTATTTTGTAGATGATGTTCGGTTTTTCTTTTTTTTCATTTCGTCTTTCGGTTTGCATAGGATAGATTGAAGTGATTTTGTTGGTTTGTGTGCTACACCTATTCCAAACGGCTTCAATAACCTCGTCGTAATTTCCGATATGTCATTTATATATGGTAGGATGATCCATTTGTCGGTTTCTGTACTTGGTTTTGTCTCTGGTGGTGAGTCTGGTTGATATTTTTCAAGTTAATTGGGTAGCCGTTTTTTTAAAGGTTAGTCATTGGATATTTCCCTTCGTTTTTACGCAGTGCAAGTTTGCAGCAGTGTGTTCTCACCCTCTTGAATAAAATTTGTACGCAGTTGATTTTTTAGTTATTGGGTTGTTATTATTGTAAATGAGAATTTGATCTGTGTGGGTCGGCTTCCGACATACCGGAATCTCCAGTTTTCTTGTATCGGCTCTGGTGTTATGAGTTTTTCATGTTTTCAGTTATGCAAAAACTTGATGAAGGATGATAACTATTTCAAGTTCGTAGTTAACATTAAGGATTGACCTGGGTTAGAAAACCATTGAAAAGCAAGAATCACTGGGTATCTATTCCATCCTTTTATCAAGCTCCTCGCGGAGGGTCCACCTAGGGGAGTTGCAAAATCATAATTTCAAACCAATGATGCACATTTTCACACCCACATGATTTATTATTACTATTCAGTCAGTCAGTCAGCTACAATGTAGGACCAGGCACATATGTGCATCGGTCCAAGTTGCCATACCTCATTAACACAACAAGATCAAAACAAAATTCATAAAAATAGTTACTTCAATGGTAGTAATATATAAAAGAAAGATTGCATATAAGGATATAATAAATGGAAAAAGAATTAGTTCGTAGGAAGAAAAATATGAAGCGACTTTAACCTCACGGTTTAAGGGAAAACAGAGAGTGTAAACATTGACGTTATTGTGATCGATTCTGAGCCATATCACTTAGTCTCCAACCATTGGTTACGACAGCCGCGCGGACCCCAACCGTTGCTGCTACCTTGAAGTGATTGTCGGGCTTGCCTATCGTGATGAGCCAATCGAACTATACTGGCTGGAACAATCGTTCCTCAAGGTTCTGCCATGACAGACTAGTCAGTTGAAGAGCGGTAAGACTGAAAGCAGCAAATCCAAGGTCCGAAGGAGAGTCGTACTACTGACTATACAGAGGTGTGACGGCAATAAGGTGTTTCCTTCAGACAACCAGTATAACAGCGATATTGCCTACCCACAAGGAGGGATATGGTTAGAAAAGGTCAACCCTAAAAATGCACACCTCGCCTTATCCCACGGATATCCCTCTCCAGCGGTAAGGTCACAACAAGTACGGAGCTAACAAGCAGTTGTCCCTTGGGCACTGTGGTCACGCTCTCAGGTTACAAAGACCATCTCTAACCCAATTTCCTTTTCATGTACCTCTAGAAAGACCCATTCACGGTGTGAGCAACCGGGAAATGCAAACCGCCCTCATACCTCTAACGTCAATCAAGATCTCTGTATTCATAATCAATCTCCATCTTCAATTCCTACTATAAAATTTAAGAAGGCTGAATGATATAATAAGTGAGCTACTACAGGAAATTATTCACGAACAGTAACATTTGTCATATCGTAACATAAAAGAACCTCCACTTCAGTATTCACCAAATTAGATTGGTTAACGTAGTAGCTATAGAAATGGATTTTCAATAACAGGATTATGAGTTGAATAGTGACACTAGCCTTAAATACACGAAGCTTTTTTCAAATTTAATTACAACAATCTGTGCTCCATTGTTTAGTTGCACTTAAATTAAAATGAATTAGCAGTGACATTATACATTATATTAACACTATAAAACTATATCGAAACGAACCTTATCACCATTAGGTATATCTAAACCACAGTGTCGTTCATCTTTTAGTCCACAGTATAATTTCATTGAAACAGTAGTTTGATTACGCCAAGCACGCAGTACACGTTCGGCATCTGATTCTGATGAAAAATATGCAAATGCATAGCCACACGGATAGCCAGTAACAATGTTGTGAACAATATGAATTTTTGGCCAAATTTCATCGCAGGAAAATGGGGAACGACTACGGCAGTATTTTCTAGATTTACTATTTAAATCAGTTCCTAAGTGTTTATTCAACAGTTCATGCAGTGCTTTTTGTAAACAAATTTTTGAAGTATGATAAGGTAGCCTTCCTACAAATATTGTAGCCTCAGTATTAACAACAAAAAAGAAAAGATTAGATGTAAACAGTAATGACTACGGCAACAATAACATTCATACGTTTGGTTTAGTAAAAATTTATTATTCCTTCCTCCATATAACAATCTGAACAGATAAAAGATAGGTCGATACAAAATAGGCACCAAATAACGAATCCCAGTAACTCAAATGAGGAAACACTCACAATAGAGATCTATAATCCATGATGAGTTTTAGTTTATGATTGAGAACATTCTATATACCGTTATTACAACTTACTAACCATAAATAGGCGTTGTATTGTCCGAGTACGCCAATAACGCTAACTCAACTAGTCTATGTGAATAAACTATTCATTCAAAAATACTTGAGTCCCTAACGACCAGTCACGATATTACAAAGCCAAACGAGTACTTCCAATAAGTGGAAATTAAAGATATAGAATAGAATAGTCGATTTCAAGAGTCAATTGAAGCTAGGCCACCATGGGAAACCTGGAAGCACTGGACGGCCGCTTCGCCCTATTATGGGACTCCTCAGCAGTGTGCACCCACGGAACTATATCAATTTCCACTAGCAATTACGTTTTGAATAAACACGTATTGTAAGAGTGGGTGGGTATGAATGACTTTACAAATCGTGATTTAGACGAGATGATAAATCTGAATACGGAAGAATAATCCCGTTAGCTTCCTGAGCCACAAATTAGAGCTGAGCATAACGAATAAATGACTGTGTGTATAACACCAAACCTTTTACGAATAGTCCAGTTTCCCAAATTCATCAATGTAAACAAATAGTGTTCGGTGTTTTGAATGAAAAAGATCCCACATCTTGTCGCAAAATATAGTGATCCATATACCAAGTACACCCCGTGTAATATTACGTCCTATTTTTAGTGAAATATCATCGTTGAACACACAATCCACTTCATCACTTTAATTAATTTCGAAATTTGAGTGACAACCGAAGCACGAAGATATGTAAGTCGGTAAACTGACAGATTCCAATGACCGTTTCATAAGCTGAGAAAGCGATTAGCCGAACTGACCGTACACAGAACCACTGTAATCAATTGTATTAGATTAGTACAAGCAATCAGTAGGAAGTCCTGTCTACGGTAACCCCCTTTATCGTCAGCAAACAACCGGATGTACAACATACCAGCCTTTTATATCGTAAACCCAAATTACCAGTCACACTGACCAGATATAATACATCAAGTTCCCGTAAGACCTCCAAGTTACTAGTAAATGGAAACAACACATTACCATAACTTTTAGAGATAATCAGTCCCTAACATGCAGTGCGTTGTGAAAAGACAGAAGTATCTGTTATTCAGTATTGTTCGACCTTAGGGAAATAAACCAGTGTAAGCAGCTATTTCAATTACAAAGTCAAACATTGATGTGTACCTTTGGATCCCAGTTAAAAACATGGTCTTTACTCCTATAAGATGACGTTAAGGCGCGTTGAATTGCTCGATCATGTGGAGTCGTATCTGTACCGTCAATACTACCAACTGTTACTGGATCATAATACCCATATTGATGAACATAAGGATGCCATTCATGTGGATTTTTCAGGCAAACCGATTTTGCCATTATGCAGTCCCCTGAAAACCAATAACGACAATCAGCAATGTGACTAAAAATCTAATAGAAAACCAAGAGATACGTCAAATAAATTTATTTTAGATCAGCGCTTTAGATTTGTTAGGATCAAGCTGAACGAGTATAATGGATACAAAAACGAAAGCTCATGAGAGATATGCAAAGTATGAGGATGTGAACATCGGTAAGAAAAAGAAGTTAAAGTGAAAACCTAATGCAAGCATTTCGCAGAAACAAATTGGGAAGAAAACATGTCTCAATGTAATAATCTTGGTAGGACGTTTGTATATATTTACACATGCCAAAAATCTAAAAGGCAAATGTCTCCACTGCCTAAGTGAAATCGAGTAGAAAACCACTCTATGGACAACTTTGATTTAAGGTTAGCCAAAGCAGAGTGACAAACAACAACTAGTTTAATATAATAACTTTATCAGTAATTCATTTAAATCAGTGTTGTGCGTGTGGAATCGGAGCACGTTGGTGATGTAAACTTTGACCTGCATTACCCAAGACCATTCCTTGAGACGGGTTCCCAGGTAAATGTATTTGATTTTGCCCAGTAACAGCGCCAGCTTGGTTAGTAGCAACACCGATATTTGGATTAGATTGATTTGTACTGACGGTAGAGCTATTATTGGGTCCATGTTTAACAGCAGCTGCTGCAGCTACAGCGGCAGCAACTGTATTCATGTATGGTGAACCCGACACAGATGCGTAAAATTGTGGTGAAAAGTGCTGTGCATGAGAATTGCTATTTCCATGATTAAAGTTTTGAACCAGAGATCCGTTGTTGGAATGAGAGGCAGAAGATAACTTTCCACCGACAGAATCGAGCGACATTCCTTGAGATTGAAATGAACTATAGTTGGGTGGGTTTGAGCTAGTTTTGAAACCAACTAGAATACAAAAACATAAAAATCGTTTAATACACATACATAGGTTGTAAATTACAAACCAATGGATTTATTATGAACACCTTATCATAGAATGACATTAAATACGTTAGCTCTATGATATCACTATAAGGTTAACTAAAGTGACAGTAGGTGACAAACATGTAGTTTCAGTTGTTTAATTATAGTAAAGGTAAAGTCATGAGGTCGGAAATTTAGTCTGCTCTCAGCATCATTCTAGAGATAAAATAAAGGATCATTCCTCACAGAAACAGAAAAATAATAATGGTTATTTAACAGTTGTTTAGGGACCGATAACTGACCAGTGGTGGTATGGTGCAGAACTGGTCATGATGCTAGAAGAGCATTTAATAAACTTCCTTTACGTCCCAGTTAACCTTCACAAACATACCTTTCTAATACTTCTTTTAAACTATATTCTCAGTGTTTAGTTGTTGTTTTTTTCATTATTAGTACTACTACAATAATTTTAGATCATTTGATATTCTCTAGCTAATTTGGTATGCAACTCGATCAACTCGAACTGACATGTATTCTTCTCAGGCTCTATCTTGGCTACGGACGATTAATAAAGAGGTTTAAGTTGACTTGTTTAAATCGGTCGAAACTATGCCTGCGTGGTAGTAAAGTCGACTTTTACATACCACTATATTATGCTAATCAAGTACGCTGATAAAATAGCATTCCTTTAACCAATAGTCGACCATTGCCTATAACTAAAGTAATTGGAACTCGCAAAACAGCAAATTCATTTAATTAAAAATTAGTTTTATGACACAAACCTTGTTTGGATGGATCACCATACTTGACATCTAACAAATCTTCATAGTTTCCAACTCCATTGCCCAGTTGTTTGAGATTATTATAAGATTGAGCTTGGTTTAGCTGGGATTGGTGCTGGGTAATTGGTGATGCACACTGACCAGGATTCTGAACTTGGGGATTGTCTGAATTTGGTTGTTGTTGGTTTAAAAATGGATTTGGATAACCATTCTGAAAAACAGATAGTAATAATACAGTTAATATAACAAAAATGATGAGAAACAGTTTTTAGGTTATATAAAATTATCCTGGAATCTAGAGATTCGAAAGAGCGCTTAGGTCTATTCGCAAGCTAACACTGAGTTTACTGATGATACGGACGCGATATTTCTACCAAACAGGTTGAAAAAGTTACACCATAGTAGTTCATAATCGCGTCTGATTCGAACACCGTCGAAATGAGATGCGAAAGAATACATTGTCACACCGATTCCCATGTTCGCTGCTGACGCTGTTGGACAGCAGTCAGTCACGACGTTAAACCTGGTACGTATGCACATTGGTTCAATTTGACAGACCTCATTAGAACAGTGGGATGAAATTTTCAGATCAAACCACAGGATAGTAGAGGTAGTAACAGTAACAGCAGAAATAAAGAACTTGGCATTAAAAATACGATTCGAGAAAATTTAAATTAGTAAAACAATAGCAATAATTATGAAGAATTGAGAATATCATAATTTGGGGGAAGACAACGAACGGATCACCTGGACCACTGTGAACGATTTTGAGCCATGTCATCCAAAGTCTCTAACCACTGTTTACGACAATCACGTGGACACTAACCACATAGTCTACACCTGTTAACCTGGCCAAGTCCAATCCTCAATGACTTCATGAACTGGACTGATGTCATGTTTTGGTTCCTCCGCCCCTAGTTTTCTTCTAGTGCACTCCTACATAATTATGTACCTAGTTTGGTTTAGGTGAACGAATATGCCAATTCACTAAACAGAAAACTGGAAATGAGAGCATAGTGGAATTCCGTCAAACACCAGACCTTCAAGACCTCCGAGACTCCCAAGTCAGCTACAACAACATAGGACCAGGCACTCCCAAGACAATTGAAGCGGGTAACAGAGAACGTAATGAGAATAGGTGACCCCACACAACTATGTAGAAGCACTAGAAACTTTAATTAAAGTTATTTATCAGTAGAACTATGTTTGAAAAACATGTTTTCAGACCAAACTACAGGAAAGACAAGATATTTTGAGAGACATGTACTTTCCAGCTACCCATTTTCATCAAGGGCTGCGGCGAGGTTGATATTAGACTCTCAATAGTGAGACCTAATCTTGATGGATTAGTTACAAACTCCTTTATGGATAGACGCTTAGTGCCAACAACCACATTGGTTGAGGTGCTGTACCAGTAACCTGGTAGCTGAAGGTAATTCTATCAGGCTAGTCGCGAACACTCAGTCAACCAAACACAACTTGGCACATGTGTATGGCTTTGAGTTGCCACACGTCAGGACGAAGCGCCAGAGTAGTACTAGTAGCAGTATCAATGTTATTAGAAGAGACAGATATGACTCGAGAAGACCTAGACTCGTGAAATAACTTTTTCAAGAGTACTGATGGTTTACAGGAACGACAAAAGTCCTCTTATGAAAGCTACAGAGAAATCAATCTTACTAATATTGTATTCGAAACCTTGGCTTCGAAAACAGCCTAATGCTAAACTGGAGGCTGTGAACAATGAACCGCGGTAAAGCTAAACTGGTTTTAGACATGAGTGAACTGACTAAATATTCACTCCAAGTCAAGTTTCTGGGTGTAAGCAAACTGACGCTCTTAACATTAAAACTTCATTTGCCTTTTCTGGTCAACATAATTTATGGTAGTCGCTGTCATTTAAAAGCGTAAAAAGTATATCAACGTTTTGAATTCTACTGATCAAGAGCATATGGCAACCTGCCCGACCGAAGCTGCTACCTTGACGTGGTGGTCGGGCTTGCCTATCGTGATGACCCATCCGAGCTATATTGGCTGGAACATATGTTCCTGTAGGTTCTACCATGCCAGGCAGGTCGATTGGTGAACGGTAAGACTAAAAGCAGCAACTCAAAGTCTGAGGGCGAAGTCGTACTGCTGACTGTACAGAGGTGTGACAGCAGTAAGGTGTTTCCTTCGGACAATCAGCATGACAGCGATGCTGCCTTCCCACAAGGAGGGGTGGGGTTAGGAAAGGTCGACCCTAAAAATGTCACACCTCACCTTACCTCACGGATTTCCGTCTCCGGCGGTAAGGCCATCTGAAGAACGGAGCTAACACGTCAAAAACCTTCTACAAAAAGGCCGTGCGCGACCGGCCTCAAGCAGTTGTCCCTTGGGCTCTGCGGTCACGCTCCCAGGTCGTTAAGACCAACACCAATCCAATTTCCTTTTCAGGTTCCTCAAGAAATACCCTTCCACGGTGTGGGCAGCCGGGAAGTGACATCAGCCCTCATACCCGTAACAGCACGCGAGACCAAGTTGGTCACATTCAAATCCTTCCTACACCTAATACCTCTCTTATCTCCATGACTAACCCTCCTCACGTCTCTTTATCACCTCGCACCGCTAGGGCAAACGATTCAAGTACGTGGAACGCTATTCCTGGTCTCCTGAAACCACGTTCTAATCTACACGTAGGAGCTTTTAACTTCCGAACACTGTGCCAAATAGGACAGCAGGCTTCCTTAGCTAGGACCTTAGAATCTCGCGCCATCGATGTGTGTTGCGTCTCCGAAACGCGCATACAGGATCCAAGTAGCATCATTCATTTGACCTCACCATGCCAAAATAAAGAACCGACTCGATTTACGCTTCGTGTATCTGGAAGCCCTGATTCTGTTTCCCGTGGCCTCGCCGGCGTAGGTATAGCATTGAGTCCTAGCGCAGAACTAGCTCTCTTAGAGTGGATCCCAGTAGACAGTCGTTTGTGCGCTGTCCGACTGAACGGAACAGTAAGAATCCAGAAAGATAGGGACACTCGTCGTTGCCTTTTCGTCGTCTCTGCCTATTCTCCCACTGACTGCAGCTCAGATGATGTAAAAGATGAGTTTTACAGAAAGCTTTCGGACCTTCTCCGAAAAGCTAAGCGCTCGGATGTAGTAATAGTGGCCGGTGACTTTAATGCTCAAGTAGGTAAACTAAGCGATAGGGAAAGACACCTGGGTGGATCTTATAGTATCGTGGCTCAAAGAACAGATAATGGCGACCGTCTGTTGCAGCTATGCTCAGATAACCGCCTGTTCCTTGCAAA